GGAAAACTTAGTGTTGTATTTTTAATCCTTAGTTATAAACACAAAAAWTTTTATGATTTTTYAACWTCAAAATTACTTGCAAATTTTCGCGTTTTCGACATATTTCGTAAAAATTTGAACTTTTTTTTTGTTTTTCTCGATTTTTTTGAAAACTGTTGGAAAATTTTTACTTTTGATCTCTATAATGCACCAACGATATTCACTTTTACATCGGAAACCACCCCCAAAGTTTGAAATCGAAGCATTATTTCGACTAGTTATGCTGTACACAGACACACAAAAAAAAAACACACACATCATTGTAAAATCAATACATTCACCACTTCGTTCAGAATCTAAAATGATATACATTAATAGATTTATGATAGTGTTACAAGCAAGCATTCTACATAAAATATTATTATTTTACGAGTAGTTGTAAATACCCGATGTACACGCGTTCAGACTGTCAGGCAACCTATGAAATGCAATGTCAAAACAAACAATAATAAAATTCCATTGAATGAATATAAGTAAAACTATTCTGATAACTTGGCGTTGTGAATCTCTAACCATTCTTGGTTGTGTATTTTAAAAATTTAACATAATATGTATAACAATATCACCAATGGCATAATAGACTATAACCTTTTAAACTGCATATTGCATATTGCATGTATTTAATGTTTAGTATGGTGATTTAATACAACATTATACAATATGCAATATAAATTAATATATGATGCTGTTTAATCATAATAGTTATTAAATTAATATTAAATCTAATAAAAACTAAGCAGCGTTATGCAAAATTAATATTATTATGATAAAAATTATCACATATTAATAATACATTATAATAGTTTAAGTTGTAATTTAAAATTTCAATAAGCATGCAGAAATTAATTTGAAAATCAATTACAGTTAGATTGAAATATTTAAATCATGCAACAACATATTATCAATAATAATTAATATTAATATGTATTATACTCACATCAATGATTGTTCGAATACTATAACACTGAATGTTGCTGAGAATTCACTCACTTACAAACATTTATTTGTAAATCCAAATTACCAATATCCAATCATTGGTTCACATATTTTCGTTAATTTTAAAATGTTATCAAAGTATAATTTGTCTAATAATTAAAAAAACATAATTGAGATTCACCAAACTATTTCTCCTCAAACGATTTTTGATATTTTAACATTTCAATTATTTACCTTTAGTTATTTTGATTGAACCAAAAGCTTGAAAATTTAATAAAAAGTCTATCTTAATTTAAATAAAGAAAAGTTGCGAAGGCGCGATGTGTTTTTCGATAAGTTAAAATTTAAACAAAATGCATAAAAAAATTTTGCAAATTATTTTGTATCTCAGTAAAAATGTATAATATGTTCGATTTTTATAAATAATAATTTTTATTCATACACACTTACCGAAAGATTTCTTATAATAGTTGATAGTATGACAAAAAAATTTCTAAATATATAAACACAGTTTTTTTTGTAAATATTTTAAATTCTGTTTTAGATGAAACGAAGGATAACAATTTTAGTTATTTTKTTGTAATTTAAAAATATTATTCATAGGTACATGAGGTTTTTGCGCTACCTATATTATTATAATTTATATAACAATGGCATTTTAAAAATAAATTAAATAAATTACTTTTATAACAATTATGTCATAAAATATCCTTCATAATTTAGTATTATAGACTGTTAGATTTCGCTCTAACCTCACCTAATGTACAGCAGATCGGTACCTATTTACCCACTTTTTTATTCACAGACAAACCAAGTAAATATAAATTTTCAAATATCTAGAATCGAAGTTTTGTATGCTATAGGATAAATAATAAAATTACTWGTGGAACAAATATACGAGATAACACTATAAGTGCAACGTTTCTTTAAAAAATAATTTATTTCAAAACTTGTACTTGGCAGTATTTTGTTTTTCAATTATTTTACGTTAATAAGTCGTAGTATARTAAATAATCACTTAACATCCAACTAGCCGCCCAGCTACTCACCCAATCACCAAATTTTGTAGGCATACATGGGCTGTGTAATAGCCACCACTGATCGTGTACGGTCGTATAGAGCTAACCTAACCGTATAKAGTGAATATTATTAATTTAAAATACACACTCATCCTGAAAAGCGTTAACTTTATATAAATCTATTAGCTGCTATACAATATTATACTCAATAATAATTAACGGAAATTAGAATGAACATTTTGATTTAGAATATACTGGGGAAATCGTGTTAGTATATTTATATATCATACTGTTATAAGTCAAATTTCGTTGTAAAACTTTTCGTAGTTATAAACTGATCGTGAGGTATAAAGAATATTTAACGAAATAAGTTTAAAGTTCATATAATGGTATAGAAATTATTCATTATAATATGCTACTTTTACAAGATAATATAGGGGAGCTCTTGCGAATAATGGGGAAGCGGCGAGTTAGGTACACAATAACTTGGTACTAGCATTTTTTTAAGCTCAACGTTTGCGTATCGTTTATTTATGTCAAATATAATATTTATAAGCATGTATGTAGCATAGTTATTGATAATGTTACCATAATAAAATACGATGATTTCATCGTTGAAAATTTAACTCTTGTTTCTCGTTTATTTTTTATAATTTTATTTTGTTTTTGTTGCAAGTAAGTGAAATTATACATGCAAACAAGTATCATAATATTCAATGTGTTTATGAGATCGCGTACTTATCATCTATTGTTTTTTCTGTTAAATACTGAAAATTTATTCTTATTTTTGTTTCAAGAAGTTATTTCGTTTTAATACGTAATATTATTTTTTGTCAGCTGRAAATAAATATACGCACGAGAGTCACCATTTAGCTAGGCAGGGCACAATATATTATGACGAAGAGTGATGAATACATTAATAACATTGAATGTTGTATAGAATTAATGATCTTCAATGCACTAATGTACCTATATTGCCTATACATTACGCCGTGTAACAAATTTGTCACCAATATAGAGGAGTTTGCAATTATTAAAGTAATATATTATTAGGTTTATAAAATAATTTAGTATATTATTGTATTGTATATTATTGAACATTATTGTATTGTTATACTTTTATTATTCCAGGTTCTAGAACTCGTCTTGATCTGGCCATCTCGGAACAGGGTAAGTGGCGTGCATATATCTAATTATTGTTGTGTTGTAAATTTGAAACTAATTAAACGCTAACTGATAAAATAATAGTAATTACGTACTACTCTGCTGACACCGTAATATTTAACGCAGTTTACATTAGAGTCATTTAATACAGGTGTTTATATTTTATATAATTATTTATTAAATGCATTTAACAAATGTACCTATATGTATTATTTTCTACGTTTTCRTCGAAATCTATTTGGAAAACGAAACACTATCGTGATTGGGTTTGAAAAAAAAATCAGTTGTTGAGAAAAAAAAAACAGAAAATCAACATTTAATCTGACCGAAATTTCTCGCGTTTTGTTTCACGTGTGAGAATGCGTGATATTCGCATTCTGGAAAAATTAATATTCATGTGCTCGAAAGACGCGTAAAAGTAAATCGTTCGGAAATTGGTCTAAAGTGTCATAAATAAACAAAAAGCGATCGCGTTTCATCGTACGATATAGCATCATAATATTTTTCATGCTCACCCTCTTCTCTCACCTGTTCAAGACCGTTTGTCATAATAACAATAATAATAATAATATAATATATTGCATGAGGGAAAAACAAACGTCGCGATAGTAATACGTTATTATGTCCCGGTGAGTGGTGATGTGCGATTTCAACCCGGGTTGAGGTGGGTTGGGTAATTTTTTTTWGGGATAAATGTTCAAGATGAGTGGTTAGTAAGTTGTGGGGAGGGGTTAGGTGAAGCCTATCGTGTTTTTTTTYTATTTACTGACCCGTACATGCAGTTATACGCCACGCGTTCAGCTTGCCTTCTGCCATATCAACTCTTACAGATACCGCAACACGCCTCTTATTTTTTGCATCAGTTCCATACGATAGCTGCTCTTGGGTACAATACAAATCATGTAAAAGCTTTTCAGATGTCAACTAACATGTTAGATGCGCAAGTTTCGTGTTATATACATATATAGGTGCACATTATTAATGATATTTTGAATAAAGTATCATAGTGTAATGAAAATAAAAACAAAACATTTCAAAATCGTTAAACTATTTTAGTGGGGTGGTATTTCAAATTGTACTGCTATATATAATTTGCACATATGGATTTCGTATGCATGTGTACAGGGAAATTCATCAACTGTGCTCCACTCCCTTTATATTCTTCAAAAATACAGCTGTTATTCAGAACCTAAATTTGGAATTTTTAAATATACTATTAATACATATGTATCATCATTTTTTAAACCATGAAATTTTTTTTTGTATTTCTTGTGAAGATAGAAGCTTCTGTTTTACAAATTTCAAACCCTACCCCCCACCAATTTTTACTGAATATTATAATCAGAGTAAAAAATTGAAATATTAATTTTTTAAATATTTAACATTGTTTACTAATGATAATATATCCATGATGATAGGTTTTGAAAATATTGGAACTGTCGTGTGTTTATTTTAGTAATTTATAATATTCCTCGTCTATATTTTATAATTTATGAAAATGGTCTAAGTGAAATAAATACTAAATCCGATATTGCATTCATTTTATATTTAAAAAAAATTTTTTTAGACTATTATCATCTTAGTATAGTATTAGTTCATTTTAATAAATGAGAAACTACTCATTTAAGTTTTAAATAAAAGTTTTCAAAATAATTATCCACTAAATGAATAAAGAACTAATAATATACAATTTAAAGTAATATAAAAATTTCAAAAATTTGAGAATCCGATCTTCTGCAAGTTGTTTCAAAAATTCCAAAAACTAGTGTTTGAATAAATGCATCATACAATTTAAAATTTAGAGTGAGCATTCTTTGTGTATCACTCTGTACATGATATTTGCCCTCGGAACCAACTCCACTATATACGATAGTGCGTTGCACGTGATTCGTGACTTTTATAATATAATAAAATATATGGCTTAAAAAGTTTTTCCGTTACAGGACACTGTTGGCGAAAATGTCATACATTTTTTTTATTATTATTTATTTTTCKGGTTGATGAATTTATGTTCGTAACATGACCGCTATTCACTCAGGCGTCAAACTTAATAGTATAACAATAAACACTTATTAAATATTATATTTTATTTGTCACGTTGCGGTMGTATTTATAAATTATGGCTGCAGAGAAATCGATCTTTTAATATGGTAAATAGCAAATTAAAATTAAAAGATCAATAATGAGACGCGTAGGTTAAGTTATCAGGAAGAGCTACTAAATAGTGGCCCGTGGTTGGAATTGATTTGACCCAAAGACAGAGAAATTTTTAAATTTTAGATTATCTATACCTGTTTGAGTATTTAATTTATTATTATTCATATTTACATTATTAATAACTGATATCGAATTTAATCATAAACAATAAAATATCATAATCAGCCATAATTATAATGTTTAGGGTTATTCAAAAAAAACCATTCGATTTCAGATTCTTATATATATTTTTAGTTTTCATGTTTATTGAGTATTATATATATAATTATATTATATATTATAATATATTAAATAAAATAATAATATTTCAAATAAATGTAATGATCTTTCATCTTTATAAAATAAATGACATATTCCATCCCTATATTGTTCACACAAACGTCTAGTCGTTGAACTCAAATTCTTCCCATGAGTATCCGTTTTAATTGCTAACTATTTATAGTTCCTCTGTGGTTTATGATAATGGTGATAGTCTCACAGTAGGTAGTTCATCTTCACATGGCTGGTGTGAGATCACAAAACCTAGGAAGCCTGCATGTGAAAAGCATTGGATGATTCATTTTCAACAAATCTGTATACATATTTTATTCTCCGATGCCTGACCTTCCTAACGTAAAAAATAATAAACTACAACGACGTTTTCCCCAATGTTAATGATAATATCATAATCACTGCACAAGTCTTGAGTTATTGCGGTCATCGCGTTTATTTATGCTCTACAATTTTATTAATTGTTTGACTGAGCGTATTTGTATTTCGATATGTCCGCGAACACGATCAGTTTGGAAAAGAAATCAACTGACGATTTCAGCCGAATCAGGCAATTAGTAAATTCGACGATTCCCCTAGTGGCGTTCGGGYCGTAGTTTCGTAAAGTAATTCTTTTTTGTGTCATCTGTTATTCGTGTATCGAGTTGGTGATCTCTGATTATCGTGTACGCTTTCCAATCCGTTGGCGTTTAAATCTCTAAACATATAATTTCGGAACATAGTGATAAGTCTCTGCCAATCGTCCGTCGTCACTCGAAATCATTTTATCTCCTACATCCATCCTGACGGTGTTTCTTTGCTTTAGCTGATCCAAAACTTATACTGAAACGTGGTTTCAAAATTTACGAACGGGATCTGTATAGTCAGTGTTTTGTCGTGGGTGATGAGGGTGGATAATGTCCGACGATAATTTTAAGATGAGCGAATTCTGAAAAAAAAAATCATAAAAATCGTGATTGTCTACAGTCGATTTGAAAATTGTATGTACCTATAATATATAATAGGCTAATACTATTGGTATTGATGCTGTTATTTAATTCGATGAGTACCTTGTAAGTGTTGCAACAATGTATGAAACCTAACTGAGTGGAATAGCCAGTATTTTGATCGGAGGGGGGGCTGATMTTTTTTTACACAGCAATGGTTTACCTACCTARTTTCTTCCATAAGTTTAACGTGTAGAAAAAAAAGTTTTAATTTATAGTAAATTTTTAAATATTTTAAATACAATAATTTAAGACTTTTTAAGAGACTTTCTTAGGCCTTTAAAATAATTTTTAGATTTTCTTGAGATTTYGGGGAGGGCTGTAGTTTCCTCAGTCACTCCCTACGGCTACGCCACTAACTAGATCTGGGTTGCTATAATTTTAACAGCTACAAAGTAGCTAGCTAATACTGGTTCAGCCAAACCTTCCAAACCTTATATAGGGGTATAAAAATATTCAAAATTAATATGAAATCGAATGACTGTTATTTATTATATAATTCTAATTATATTTCTATATGTACGTACTATATATCAATCGCACGCGGAAAGATAACGGCGGTCAATGTCAAGAATTCGTTTTTTGATATTTTCGCCATTTCATCGGTCACTATAATACTTATTGAAATTGATCACCCGTGTAAAAATGAAAAAGTGGGTTTTTAGAGGTGTTATATATAGCACCTTCCCAGTTGTGCTTGTGGCATAGCCGA